ACAATTTACGAAGCATTTTTAAATTCCCATGAGCAAACAAACGTTCACTTTACAAAGATATTTTAATTTTTTAAAACAAATTAATCACCCTGTCAAAATCCTTTGTGTTACGGCATTGAAATTCGAACAATACGTTATTTCAATGATTTTGGGTTTTTTTGAGACACCCTGTATATTGAAATAATGCAAGTAAAAAATAGTGACAAACCATACATTTTCCGATAACGACAAAACGTGGATGCAAAACAATACCAATAATTACAATAATCACCACAGTGATTACTTTTTAACAATGAGTTTAAGGATTAACACTGAAAATGCAAAATATGCATGGTATGCTGTGAAGCGTCATAAGTCCTATTTAGTATTGATCTACTGTAACTGTAAAGCCCTTTCGATACATGCAATTGTAAATTTGTATTCTTACATGCAGGGCTTGAAATAACGTTCCCAAAGTTCCCGATCATGGTGATCAGCAGTCCTGACTTTCCCTGCTTTTTTTCAGGTTGGAAACCGAAACCCTGCTTTTCCGAAGTACGGCCTGATACTCAGGTTACCGCCGATCATAAGCAATTCCTTGCCGATCATTGATCGGTTGTTATTTCAAGCTTTGTCTTAACAATTTTGAATTGATACTGATTTCAAATGATTAAAGCCATGTAATAATTATTCCATGCAACTGTTAGGAAGAGCGAAATTTTGAACGGAGGACGAAAATTAAATCCTAAAGAAAAGGTGAAGTTTCTAAAGGTGGGCGAATTTCCTAAAGGAGGGCGAAATTCCTAGGATTTTTGCCCCCCCTGGGGGGAGGCGATATTCCTAGGAATTTCGCCCCCCGGGGGGGGGGCGAAAATGTAGGGGGAGGCGAAAATCCTGGGACACCGGCATTCGGCATCCCGGCATTGCCGAATGCCGACCTCGTTTTCGAGGACTGATTTTGCCACGTCTTGCTGACGTAATAAGTGATACCGACAAAGGAAAAAGGTCGCTTCGTGCGAGAAAATTCGCTAGTGGAATACCGACTTTATTGCCTCTTTTATAGAACGGTATAATAAGCAACAACAACAACAACAACAACAACAACAACAACAACAACAACAACAACAACAACAACAACAACAACAACAACAACAACAACAACAACAACAACAACAACAACAACAACAACAACAACAACAACAACAACAACAACAAAAACAACAACAACAAAAACAACAACAACAACAACAACAACAAACAAAAACAACAACAACAACAACAAACAACAACAACAACAACAACAACAACAACAACAAACAACAACAACAACAACAACAACAACAACAACAACAACAACAACAACAACAACAACAACAACAACCACCACCAAACAAATTTAATTACCTAATTATGATTTCAATAATATTATGTTTTTGGACTAGCTGCCAGAAGTGAAGATACTGTATTCGAAAAAAAAAATTGCATTGCTGCATGTGTGGTTTCTTTGATGCATGCTATTCGTGATATTCGGTTTGAATTCAATTATTCAGGTTATCTTTAGCCAATCCAGTTTTTCCGACTGAGATAACAATTTGCCGATTAGCTGACGAGGGCCCCCCCCCCCATCCCCCCCCCGCCACACCCCCCTGTAGCGCCGCCCCTGGTTACGTACCTGTCTTGCTACGTACCTGTCTTGCTTTTAAATCATATCCTTGCAAAATAGCAATTTTCAACTTTCTCTCAGCTTATAAATTGGTTAGGTGAAAGCTTTGTGAAATACAATGACACAACCAACATTGGACGGGGGAGCGGGTAATAAAAAGATGCCAACATGTGTACATGAATGGAAATACTTTAGTTTACAGGTAGCCTAAGTGTCCACGAAATTTTTACCATGATTTTTCCTGCACGTTTTCGTGCACAAATTTGGTCTGGCCAGATACCTCTGGAATTCTGCTGTACATATTATTTCATAAATCACAAGCCAGCACATAAACCGACCCATAACTGGTCTATATAGTTGAGTGTTTTTTTTGTTCTGCATGGTTGATTTGTGAAAAATTTGAAATATGTTAGGCAACACATACAATTAGTTTAATTTTCTCATTTGGAAAGTTCTAGGATGCAAACAAATATATACAATTAAAGAAACTTACCAAAATTAAAACGTTTATCCTCGGTGTCAGTACAATTTGTCGTCAATCCAATGTAGGGATCTATTCCATGACTTAAAGCAAGTGGTTCATATGTTTTAGGAATTGCACACCAGTTCTCGAATGATTTTTTCCCACGCCCTTTATAATATACAGATAAACCTCCCCAAGAGGTCTGGGTTATAGCATGAACACAAGCGGATCCGTCTAAAGATTTTTCATTAGCGAAAAAATAAAACATATCAAGATGATACCCTGAATACTTATTATGAGCATGAAGACATCCTGCTCTGTTCAAGTTTAACATGGCACCACTATCACGGAACCGAAACTGAGCAGCTGGATCCAGAGAGTTGTTGGCAAGTTCTACAAAGGAAATGCTTCCCCATCCGCCTTTTGCTGGTATTATATTTGTATCAATAATACACATCCCTGTCTGTATGTGTTTCACAAAGAAACCAGCAGCATCTGAAAAATAATAAAAATTTGAATGCACTCTTATTGTTCGTGCTGTATTTTTATGATATTCAATATATGACATGCAATGTAAGTCGCGGTGGTTATTATGTGTGTCAAAATAACTTTCCCACGACAAGCACGGCAATACTGCTGATATATTTGAAAGCACATGAAATATAAGTGCATGCATGGTAAATAAAAGGCTGAAAACTAACCTTGTAGCAGCAGGAGAGTCGTAATGAATATCACCAAATGAAAACGCTTTAAATACATTTTTCAACACCCCGATTTTGTTGAGCAAAGTTATAAATCGAGATACGTTATAAGAACGGAGGACGATTAGATGAATCAATGTAGCGAGGCAAGATCAGATAAATATTCATAGACATAAAAAATATTCATAGACATAAACTAAAATACAGCATGATGTCTGTCGTGCTTATTTGTTGTTAAATCGCTATAAAAGTAATTAAACTTTAATTAACGTGTTTTACAGCTTAAAATAACTTAAAGGTTAAATGGCCACACTAGTTTTACAACAAACAAACCACAACGTGGGAAACTTTTTGCCCTGCATGTTTGTTAAATCGACTAACTTTAAACGATCATGATTTGTAGTCAATGCCTTTGCGAACAATAATAGACATGGCCGGAAATGATCTTTTGAAGTACGTGAAATATTACATTGCCTGACTAACTTGAGAAAATTCAACCTCCCAAAATATCATCGCTACGGTATAGAACTACGGACCACCAAATCATGCACTTATTTGCATCTTACTATCTGGCGATATTGCTACCAATCCTGGTCCTAGTACTGCCCCTTCTACCGGCTTAAATGTTCTTTATCTGAATGCTCGAAGTATTAAAGCTTTCGTACCCCTTAATGACGACCCTTCACGCAAAGTTTGCAAAATGTCCATACTTCAGGAGTTGGTTTATAGTAACGACTATGACATCATCTGTCTTTGTGAAACCTGGTTAAATGATTCTGTTCTAAACAATGAATTGCTTCCTGGATATTCAATCCACCGCCGCGACAGACAAGCGCAGATCGGTGGAGGTGTGCTATAGTGGCCGTAAGAACAAATATAGAAAGCCGCCGTCGGGAAGACCTCGAAAGGGAGAACATTGAGCTAAGGGACCGGTCATTATTTAAGGCGGGGGGTGGCACCGAAGAGAAAAGGGTTGGGTAAACAAATTTTTGAGTAAGTAAAAGGTTGAGTAAATGAAAAACAAAACAACTCAAAGGTTGGGCAATAAAAAATTATTGTCATTTCCAAAGCATGACTCACTTAAATATTGGAGACTGAAAAGCAATGCCAACAGTCATATGTAAATACAATATGTGAATCAATCAGAGTCACTCTCTTGTCTATCTTGATCATTTTCCGATTTGTTGGGAGACAAATGGTGTCTCCAAAGAAAGTACATGTGCTGACAACATGAAACTTTAGACTGCAGAAAATTGCACAAGCCGTTATCAAACTCGTGTCACAGAAGTGGTAAAGGACATGTGCGACAACTGAATGGTATCCTTTTGTAAAGGTTTTGGCCAGGGGTGGGTATTTATTTTCTAATTGATATTTGAGGTTGGGTAATCAAATTTTTTACTTTCTAATGGTTGGGTCAGCAAAATTTTCGACACGAAAAACATTTCTCTTCGGTGCCACCCCCCACCATAAATAATGACCGGTCCCTAATCGCTGTTGAAATTCACAAAAGTTGTAGTAAGCCATTGCTCCTGTATACATTCTATCGTCCTCCTCAATCCCCGTCCAACGTTCTAAACCAACTCACTCTTCACTTCAAGACTCCCCTGAGTCCAGTTGCATCGTCCAGTTGGGAGACTTTAACTTACCCACCATTTCGTGGTCTGAAGATCAGTCTGCACCGCTGAATGCCAGAGGACTCGCGGATGATGACATTTTCTGTAACTTTGTGGACGACAATTTCCTTCATCAATCCATAAAAGGTCCTATACCCATATCGCTGGTAATAAGCTTGATCTATTATTGTGTAACCACCCCGAGGTTATCGAAAATGTTGCTGCAGTCTCTCCTGAAGAACATAATTTCCCGACAGATCATCACATTATAGAATTTCGGGTTAAATTAAGATTTTTAAAAACGAGCAAAGCCAATTACGCGTACGACCTACAATTATGAGCATGGGAATTTCAATGACCTACGCAGCTTCCTTCTTCGTGAACCCCTGGACATTGATCTTTCAGACGATATTGATGTTTGCTGGTCAAAATGGAAGAATTTGTTTTCAAAAGCAGTAGCCAAATTCATTCCCGTTAAAACAATCAAGGATACCAATTCCCCACCGTGGATCGACGGAGGAGTGCGTCACTTAATTCGTAAGAAATATGTTGCTCTGAGAAAATTTCGAGAATCGAAAACCGTTGTAAGAAAGCTAAAGCTACGCACAGCTACTCAAAACGTCAAGAGTCTCATCAAAAGAAAACATCGCGAGTACCTAGCTAAAGTTGAAGACTCGCTCAGCAGTAACCCTAAGCATTTTTGGAGCTATCACAAAGCCATTCTCCATCATCGGACTAGTCCAAGCACCATAATTACATATGACGGTGCCACAGCTAAAACTGCATCAGAAAAAGCAAACCTTTTCAACCAATATTTCTCTTCAACGTTCTCACATCCAAGCACTGATAATGCGGTCAATGAAGTTACATCAAGCCACTCATTTCCTTTAAAGACGGACATGCTACTATCCAACATTACCCTTTGTGTCGAAGAGGTCTCGGATTGTCTAAATTCCCTGGACACAACAAAAGCCTGCGGCCAAGACGGGATACCCTCTAGGCTCTTGAAGGAATGTAGTCAACAAGTTGCACCAAGTCTTTGTACCATCTTCAACCACTCTCTCATTTGCGGTCGCTTTCCTTTCGAGTGGAAATCTGCCAACGTCACGCCTGTCCACAAGAAAAACTCCAAAGAACCAGCCGAAAATTATAGACCTATTTCCCTGCTATCAATTGTGAGTAAAGTCATGGAACGCTGCGTCTACAATCACATGTACGCTGACGTTATTCAACTAATTTCTCCACTACAACATGGATTTCTGAGAAAGCGTTCATGTATAACACAACTGCTCTCGGTACTTCACAACATTGGTCAAAATCTTGACAATAACACCCAGTCGGATGTTTTGCGGTACCTTGATCTTGCCAAAGCATTTGACTCGGTTGACCATCAAATACTTGTTGAGAAACTAAAATGCTACGGCGTGGCTGGACGACTCCTGGACTGGTTCACTGACTACCTGAACGGTCGAACTCAAAGGGTTGTGATCGACGGTGCTGTATCCCAGTGGGTCCCTGTTACCTCCGGGGTGCCTCAAGGAAGTATCCTGGGTCCCTTGTTATTTGTTATATTCATTAACGATCTCCCTGAAATTATTCCAAATGGTACCAATACAGCACTGTTCGCGGACGATACCAAATTACATCGAAACATCTCGTCTCTGACTGACTGCGACGGTTTACAGCAAGCCCTCAGCAACATTAACATCTGGAGCCAGCAGAACAATATGAAATTCAACAGCACAAAATGTAAAGTTCTCACCATGACACGCAAGCAAAATCCTGTGGTTTACGATTACCAACTTGGCTCTGCCATATATCAGCAAGAGAAAGATCTTGGAGTTACTATATCATCCAAACTCACCTGGCATCATCACATATTTGTGTAATATACACAAACAAGGAAACAATACTATTTCAAAAGAGCTCTTGTTGTTATATTCGTCTTGTATACAATCACATTTTCCCCAGTCTCTACCTGTCATCAGATATCTATATAAAACGTCTCTTATTACTTAATCCCTATTAAACCATATAATCACTAGCATATGTTACAATATCCCCCTCTTTAATTGAGAGCGTCCTCGATCTCTAGTTCATCTAAGTTATAATCCTGATATCTATCAGGTTGTCGGCGATTACAGTTAGACCTACGCAATTGGATCAGCTCCTCTGCTGGTAACAGCTGTGCGTCCGCCAGCCTCTCTCCGTGATGTATCACTGGCTCGCCTGGGAGCAATTCGACTCTCGAGTTGTGCTTTTCTGGTTGATCAACAGACAGGGTTTCGATTCTAGGCTGGCGTATGTCTGGCTTAAGTCGATTGCGATGTACCACTTTTGTCTTACCGTTCCCAGACCCCGGCTTGATATGGTAGTTTACCTTGCTCAGTCTCTTGATCACTACGTAAGGCCCCGTCCACGGTGAATGGAATTTTCGGCTCAAGCCCTTTGGTACCGCTTTGTTATTGAGCCACACCCGATCCCCTTCCTTTAGCGATGTACTTCGGTCAACGTCATTATGTTCGTCGTACCCTTTCTTCCGCTTACTTTGCGCCACGTCAATGTTCGTTTTGATGCTGCGATGTACGACCTTTAATGTCTTCTCCAGTTCATCACAGTAATTTGAAATAAACTGTTCCTTAACTTCAGTTTCGGTGTTTATAAGTACCAGCGGTGTAGTGGCTTCGGGACCATAAATTGCCTGGAAAGGTGAAACCCAAGACGAGGAATGCACACTGTTACGGTATGCAAATAAGGCCAGTGGTAAGTCATCGTCCCAATCATTATGGTCCTTATTTACATAAGCTGTCAGAATTCCCTTTAACGTGCGATTCATTCTCTCAACGGCGAAGTTCTTAGTTTTCGCACACCGAGGAGACAGAACACTTGCTTCATGAGATCGGCCTCGAAGTTCCTTCCTCGATCGGTTAGAAGTTTACTTGGGACTCCATGTCGAGTCACTACTTCATTAACGAAGGCTTTAGCTACCGTCTCGGCACGTTGATTGGGCATTGGCACCGCCTCTACCCACTTGGTAAAGTGATCGGACATAACCAAGATGTACTGGTTCCCCCGTGCAGTCATAGGAAGTGGACCTAATACGTCCATAGCCCACAGTTCCATCGGTTGTCCAATTTCTATGCTCTGCATGGGTGCCTTTTGAGATGGAACGGGTGTTTTCCGTCTGTTGCACTTTTCGCACTCGGCTATCCATAGTTGCACTTCTGCTGCCATTCCCGGCCAATAATATCGTCGTTGCAGACGTTCTAAGCAGCGGTTTATTCCCATGTGTCCCGAACATGGGTCATCATGAGGAAGTTTTAAAAAGTCGGCACGCATCTTTCGAGGGACAACCAAAACTAGTCGCTTCGATGGAGTACCTTTATCTACACAACAGTGTAGAACGCCATCTACCATTTCTAGTTGTGACCACAACTGTCTGTAGCGTCGCCTTTCACCATTCTCCTTAGAATTATCATTATCATTTCCTTCCTCTGGTAGATCATCGCTGCAGCTTAACTTCTGCATTATCATGGAAATGCTTGGGTCGTCCTGTTGTGCCTTTAAGATTTCTGTCTTGGACCACGACGTGCACACCTCGGTACCGTTTACACCGACCATCAAGTCCTCATCCACGCTTTGGTCTGGTATCTGCGGGGGTGTCACTCGAGGAAAACGCGATAAGGTATCTGCGTTGCTGTGTTGTCGACCCGGGCGATGCTTGATTTCGAAATCGTACTCCTGTAAGGCAAGGATCCACCTGGCGAGACGACCCTTCGGTTCTTTCAATCCTTGCAACCACGTTAAACTTTGATGGTCTGTCACTATGTCAAAGGTGTTTCCGAGTAAATATGGCCGCCAATAATTGACTGTCCAAACAATGGCTAGACACTCTTTCTCCGTGGTTGAGTAATTTTTCTCCGCAGACGTAAGGGTCCGGCTGGCATACGCGATCACGTACTCGTTTTCACCTCTTCGCTGGGACAAGACAGCGCCGAGGCCGAAATCACTGGCATCCGTATAAATGGTGAAAGGAACGGAGAAGTCTGGTAGGGACAAGATAGGTGCTGAACACAGACGACTTTTGAGGTCATTAAATGCTTTGTCGGCCGCAGGTGTCCAACAAAATTCTGGTTGGCCACCCTTGGTTAGGTCGTGGAGCGGTGCAGCGATGTCCGCAAAGTTCTTAATAAACCGTCTATAGTATGAGGCCATCCCAACGAACGCTCGAACATCGGTGAGAGACGTCGGGGTCGCAAATTCTCGCACGGCCTCAACTTTGGACGAATCTGGTTCTGTTCCCCGTGCAGATACAATGTGGCCAAGGAATTTCACCGATTCTTGTGCAAATTGGCACTTGTCTCGCTTGATCTTCAACCCTGCTGCCCGAATACGACGAAATACTTCGTCCAAAATACGTTGATGTTCCTCCCACGTATCCGAGAAAATAATAATGTCATCCATGAATACTAGGCAGCCTTTAATACCCATCAATATATTCCCCATCATGCGCTGAAATGTGGCGGGAGCGTTAGTTAAACCAAAGGGCATAACTGTAAATTCATAGTGGTTCGCACCAACGGAGAAAGCCGTTTTCTCCATATCCTCTTCCCTTACAGGTACTTGCCAGTACCCGGAAGCAAGGTCCAAGGTACTAAAGTAACGCGCACCGCCTAACTGGTCCAGAATTTCGTCTATACGAGGCATAGGATGAGCGTCCTTCTTTGTCACCGAGTTCACTCGCCTAAAGTCAACGCAAAATCTATAATCCCCGTCTTTCTTCGGAGCTAATACGATTGGTGAGGACCAGGGACTGTTACTAGATCGGATTACACCTCTTTCGATCATGTCGTTCACTTGCTTGTTCACTACAGTGTTGAGATGAACAGGAATTCTATAAGGCCGTTGCTTCACAGGACGGCTGTCTCCTGTGTCAATCGAGTGTTCTGCTACAGTGGTTCGGCCTAAAGGGTCATTTGGTCCGCTTACAAAAATATCTGAATAATTATCTAACAGTACGCTTAATTTATTGACAGTTGGTGCAGTTGTCTCGATTACCAACGCCACTTCTCCCGATGGCCAAGTTAATTTCGAATTTGCTATATCCACGACCATTCGCCCTGACTTCAAAAAGTCAGCACCTAAAATACAGGTGTTCCTCATTCCTACGACCATAAACTGGTGGGATATAGTCAATTTGCCGATACTGAGTTCCAATTCTTTCATTCCTAGGACTTGTAGTTCCTCTCCACCGATCCCTCTTGCCTTCAACGAACATGGCTTTAAAGGCCCACTTATAAGTTCTCGACTTATTAACGATACCGTTGCACCTGTATCCACCAAACATTTTTGCTCATGGGCACCCACTCGTGTCTTGAAAACCGCAGTAGGCTGGATACAGTTTATGGGCAAGGCCGTATTTTCTTGGACGGACCCCCGGCCTAGTAATGGGTCGGTCCTTGGTCGTTTCCCTGACGCGGTTGACCAGCGACAGGGGACTGGTATCTAAATCGGCATTCTCGCGCAAAATGTCCGATTTGCCCGCACACGAAGCAGTAATTTTCGGCGCTGCGTTGTCGGTAATTTGGTTGTCGACTTCCGTTACCGGTGCTTCTACACTCGTTGGCGATGTGGCCCATCTTGCCACATTGATAGCAAGGCCCCCGTCTTCCCCGAGTAGAATTTCGCGCTGACGTGGCGTTGACATTGGCGACAGATACAGATAATTCACTAACCTTCCTGGTAAGTGTTTCTACATTTTCCATCAACTGCGCAACCAAGGGCTGATCCCTCGTTGTTGTCTGCAAATTGTCGCTCGCACTTGCCAGGTTGACTTGACTCCCGGTTTGGTGCGATGAAATTTGATTCACTAAATCTAGTTGCTGGGCAACCGCAACCATTTCTTCATAGGACATGCTTGGTCGTTGTAATAGTTCCCTTTTTAGTTCTGTGGGTACTCCTTCGATAAATTGTTGCTGGAGTAGGACATCTCTGTCTCCGTTTTCGATTTTTGGCATTGCGCGCCTTAATAGTGCCTCTAAATTGTAGGCGAACACTTGTATGTCTTCGTCTGGCTTTCTCGTTCGACTGCGAAACGCCATCATTGCAAGATGTTTGCCCGTTGTATCTCCGCCAAACGCCGCCGTTAAAGCTTTCGTAAGGGTTTTATAATCTTCTTTGGCCTCTGCTGCGAGACGTTCAAAAACTGCGAAGGCCTTACCAGACAAAAGTGTCGGTAACCTTTTTAACATGTCGGTATCTTTCCAGTCGTTTGCGGTCGAACAAAGCTCGAATTTTCGCAGCCATAAAACAATATCCCCATCTGAAAAGGTCTCGGGAAGCGCTACGCTCGTACGACTCGAAGTTGCCATCCTGGTCACGGCACCAAATGTAATATACACAAACAAGGAAACAATACTATTTCAAAAGAGCTCTTGTTGTTATATTCGTCTTGTATACAATCACATTTCCCCCCAGTCTCTACCTGTCATCAGATATCTATATAAAACGTCTCTTATTACTTAATCCCTATTAAACCATATAATCACTAGCATATGTTACACTGCCTAAATGACGTACGTGCCTAAATGATTTGTTTAGGTAGGCTATATAGTGATTATTTTGTTAGGAACCATATAGTATGATAACTGATTAGTATCCTCAGATAACGCATAACACTGAGTCATTAGAAGAAAAAAGTATCTACATCTTTCGAAACCAAAGTTTATTGCTTTTGAAATAAAGTATTCTATCTATCAATACAGAAAGCGAGAAGAGAAAGGGGCACCCCCGCAAGAGCACAAATCCATTTATCCGCGAGTTATTACCGATAAAACCTTTGCATTCTCGTACATAGAGTCCTTGTTTTGAATCCGGTTTGTCTATTTCG